TTTTATTGGTAAATACTTCACAAGACATGCAATTTAACCATTCAATCGGATGAGGAAGGTTTGGCCAATCATCCCCACAGTCAATCTCAGGAGCTAGATGTCGTTTTGAAGGGTGGCTTTGCTGTGGTGCCCTGTGATATGTGATGTGTGTGGTGTCCCTGAGACGTGTCAGGGACAAGTGTGGCCCCACACACAGCAGGTACCGGGTTAGGGGGGCCCTCACTCCTGTTGGGGAGCTGCCTGGTGGGCTGTGAGGGAGTTTGACTTCTCCATTCACACACACCCCACACACACACACACACACACACCCTGAGGTCCGAGGTCCGATCTTTTAAAAGCAGGATATTGCTCATTGTTACTGAGGGTGTGACCCGGTGCCACTTGCTGCTTCTCTTGCTCCTTGCACTCCTGACAGTGGACGAGAAGCCCAGCCCTTTCAAGAAGCCAGGGCCAGGGAGGAGGCTGGGCAGGGCAGGGCTGTGTGCTCTTTGCACCCTGTTCTTCCGTTTAGGGATAAACCCCCCTGCTCTACTCCATCTGGGCTCTGGACCTTTTCTGGAACTCCAGCGTGCTCACTTTCCAAGGTCTGTTTAGGGAGATGGTGTCCTCACCTGCCAGTGGGGACTTCCTGCTGAGGGGGGCACCGAACTGGGACATCTGGGGCCCCTGCCATCGGCCTATGACCCCTGCCTACCCCTCTGAGGGCATTGAACATCCCTGGTGTTGATTCCAAGAGCAGAGAAGGGGTGGCCTGGTTTCCTGGGGGAATTGTCCAGCCTTTCCGGTCTTCCCAGATCTGTTAGAGATGCCTGGGCTGGGGGCTAGGATAGTCTCCTGAATTGGGGCCAATGACCTCTGCTCCTGAATTGGCTGCTTTGAGCACACTGGCCGCCCAGACATACTTACCCTGAGTGCCCCCTCCAAGATGCCTCCTTATCTCGCCCTTCGGCACAGCTATCAGAGCTCCTGGGTTTTGTCACTCCAGGTCTGCGAACAACATTGTTTGCCTCAGCCCAGGAGCAGATCACAAGGCGGAACTGGAATGGGGGCAGCAGATGCACGTCCCCCCCACGGGGGCCCTGCTCTCCCCTGGAGGTCCTCTCCCTGGCCCCAGCCCCGGGCCTGGCCCACTGCTCCTTGGGGTGAGCAGGCCCCTGAGAGGAAGCAGAGTCTTTGAGCAGTCACCCTGCTCCTTCCCCATCCCAGGAACTCCAATGAATTCTTGAAGGAGGAGAGGCTCCTTGGGCGTGGGGGACAGGGACGCTGTTAGGCACCTGACTCTACCCTTCAGGAATTCAGCAGAG